CTCCCTCCAGGGTTCCTCAGGCTCTCACTCAGAATGCAGCAGATGGTGGAATGGAGCAGCAGCCCAACCTGTCAGTACAGACTGCACAGGTCTATCCACATCAGGCCAGGGTGAAGAAGGCCACCACTCCTGGGGGAAGCCCCATTTGCCATGATGAGTGTGCTAAAGTATGTCTACAAACATCAGGGCCAAGAGACAGGGCCCTCTGTCACCACCACAGCTGGCTCTTCTGGGTAGGAGCCCTATGCACACCTTCTCCTTAAGTTCATTGCTGAGGTAGCAGCCATTTAGCTCAGAGAAGATGAGAATGAACTACCAAATAGTCAGTTGAACCACCAGTTGGTCAATGAACTACCAGGTATGCCAGTTCCAGTAGCACAAGAGTCACAAAACCTTTTGGTAGCTGTCCATGGTGCCACACCTGCAGGTTTAAGAAGATACTAGGCGGCTCAAGTTAGGAAGCTGGGTGGGGCCAGAGCCAAGGCCCCAGTGGCTAAAGGTAGGCACCTGGGTTGCTGAGCCAGCAGGCCAAATGCATGTGGTTTTCCAATTGAGGAAACAAACGGTATGCTTAACGTTTTAGGGGCATATGCTAGTCCTTTGTAAGTTAGTGCCACATGTCCACTACTTGTTCAGAAGGGGGACACTGTGCAACAATGCTGGCTCTCCACAAGATTGCAGATGTTGGGAGCCACGTGGCCTCCAGCTGGCTCTGGCCTCTCACCTGTGAAAACAATGCTCAGGTCAGAGGGGTTCACTTCAATGCCCTTCTGCTGCAGGTGAGCTTTGTCCACCTCCAGGTTCTGCTGGTTCCTCTCACTCCTCCATATGCAACCGCCTCAGATAGCAGGGACTCTTGAACTTCAGAAATGGCCCAACCAGATGTCACTGAGCCTGTGGGACCCACCAAAGCTGGACATACCTAATGGACACCCAACTCAGGATCAAGCTCACAAACCCCTATTCAGGAAAGCAAGAGAGTTAAGGGAGAGTAAAATTCAAGAATTGAGGGCTACTTAGGGTGTGGCTCAGTGGTAGAACATGTCCTTAGCACACACACACAGCCGTGGGTTTGATCCCACTGTGAAATAAACAAAGCAAACAAACAAATGAGAGCACTGCACAAATCCTGGGCAACAACAGCAGGAACACTGTCCTCCTATGGAATGAGCGGAAAGACATATCTCAGAGCCACAGATCAGTCCGGGAAAGGTGGAAAGACCCTGAACTGGTTTCCAAAGAGCATGATGACACCAGGCAAGTAAGAAGCCCTCTCAGGAACAGAATCTCCAAAAACCTCAGAGGGAAAGAAGGTGAGTACATCAGCTGCAGTAAGGAGTGTCCAGGAAGGTAAGGAGGCCTCCCCAAGCAGAGTGGCTGTTACCCTGGGGTCTTCAGATTCATCCCCCAGGAGCTACACTTCTCATGTGATTGTGCTGATGATTCCAAGCTCAGGGAACAGGAAAACCCCTAAGAGCTCTGAAATTTAGAAACAGTTCAGACA